ATGTGAAAAGGCCACTTCGACTGAAAACACCTTCCTTGTAAGATAGAATACAAACGAAGTTTGATAGCACGTGGAAAAGATGTTATCAGGGCAAACACTGCCCAGAGTATTATAAAGTGCCATTAGGACTGAAGGCGCCCGAGCAAAAGGAGCACCTTTGTCTCAACAGACTATTGAAGCGGGTTCCCTATGCAAGCCATAGTCCGGTTTCGACTGCTAAATATTGCTTCAGAAATTTAAAAATAGAATCTCCTCCCTAATTCACTCTCGTCTTTATCGAGACGAAAATTGTAGCGAACAAGGCCGCTGCAACTAATGACGCATCGCAACACTGTCCAGCACAATTTTCTGCTTCGATAGCGACGAGAATGAATCGAGGATCTTCTTTGTTTGGATCTCTGAAGCGACTTGTTTGAATCAGAAGTAATATTTTGCATCGCAACTGGGTTATGGCTTGAATGAGGAGTCCGACTCAGCTTTATATTGGTATCTACTGAAGTGCTCCCAAAACTGCGGACACTGCCAAAAAAGCCAACGTCCGAACAAAATTTTAAATGAGAGTTTTTGCTTACCTGGGCTTGTCCTTCCCTCTGAGCCCAAAAATATGGCTTGGAGAGCACGCAAAGGTCGAAAACGGGCTATTCCAAAAGCTTTTGATTTTGAAGTAAGAGCCTGCCGCCAGGATAAGAAGCAAAGTCGCTGGACCCTAACTGTGTGATATGCGCACTCTGGCTTATCGTTTAGGGAGTTTCAGTCACCGAGGCGGGTCCGGTCACCGGTCTCTCTTCAAAATAGGGCCCATCGCGGATTCAATGGAAGCAGGTTAAACTTCGTTTTTAGGGGAGAAAGCAAAGGAGATATTGTTTTTGTGGCCAAAAATTGCGACGTTTTCTTAGTCGACGTTTCTTTGAGGGCTTTTTATGTTTAGGCCTGAGAGTCAAAGGGAACTTTGTAAAATTTCGCAAAAATCAAGCGGGACTTCGTTTCCAAGAAGCTTAAACGAACTCATGCCGGGTCCTGCTTCAGAAACAAGTTGATGTGGCTTATCGGCAGGTTTAACAGCATCATACTTTTCGTTTTTGACCGGACGCTGCCTTTAAGTGTTGATCTATGCATACCATTTAAGCGTTATTTTGGGAGCCATTGACTTGCAGTGTAGGGCGGGGCGCTGGCTGAGAACTAGGTCAGCCAACTAGCCCCGCCCCAACGAAATACACGTGTATCGATCGAAACGCTGGCTCGGCGCCGGCGTAGCGCTGGCGTGGCTTCGGCACTCTGGCGGGGGCCTAAGCACACTGGCTAATCCAAATTTGTCGAATACCGGTTTGTGGTACAAGATCAACATCAATATGTGGTGGTAGATCGTTTACAAGATGCTTCTGATAATTTATTTAATAAATGTCAGGTAAAGTTGCTGGTTTCATCATCGTTTTAGGATAGTATGGGAAGCGGTTTGCTGATAACTGTAAAGGTTTGTGTTTGTCCCAGGCCTGTATAACAAGGGATCGATACTCGATCCGTGGGCCTTCTGAGATGATACTTATACCATACACGACTTGGAACGTTAATAGCTAATTCCAAATTTAACTATGGTGTAATGGCTCGTGCAATAGCTTCGCAAGTTGGTGCAGGTATAGGTTTGAACCCTTTTGTGTTTTTCATTTTGCATTGCCTCATTTGACCTTTTTTTGGAAGTTAGGCATCCTCGAAATAAATGCATTCCTTACTTATGAAAAACGTGGTGGGAAATTAGAAAAATGTTTGAAAGTAGTCAGAAATGAGAAAGCCAAGTGCAACGGCTTGTCCTAAATCCGGTGCGCTCACTGCGAGCAACTTCTGTGTTTCAATCACTTTGTCATAAATTTCTATTACTGTGTTCGACATGTCTTCTTTTCCATTCATTTTTACTTTGAAATCACCTTTTAGATTATATATAACACTCATTATGAAAATGACTCCTCGTTGATTTTTTGGCCATTTACCCTGGGGTTCTTTGAAAGGAAGATTTATTGAGACAATGCAGAAAAGGACCTATGACTACACCAGCAACAATTTGTGAGGCTATGGCATCAACCACTACTCCACAACTTACCAGCAGAATTGGCGTTCCGACCATATTTTCAAACACTTGTGTGTCTAAATTGGCGCGAAACTTCATAACTTCTTTTAGAGAAACGGCTAGCAGAAATGGAAGTCGTAATCGAATCAGATTTTCAAGATGAGTTTACTTATTTATGAATATTTATGAATATCACTTCTCAAAAGGCCACAAATACCGAATATCGTTCTCTTGTAAGCTTTTTGACATGTTCCTTAAGCAAATGGCAGTAAAATTCCAAAGAGAGAGTGCTTCTATGTGGTTTCCACCTTTGGGATTTGTAAAAACGTGGGGACAAAAAGTTGGTAAAGACGTTCATTTTTTCTTACTTTATCGGGGTTTTCTTGACTCCACGTATCCTAGTGCCCGCCATTTCTTGGATTTGTAATACATCTTATATTATTGAAGCGATATGTTTTATTACGCGATCACGTAGTTTTGCTAGCCACATCGTAGCTCTTTTGCTTGCACTTCACTCAAGTCAGAATTCTATGTGCGAATGGCTCGATTTGTAAACTGCAGAGACTTGTCCATAGCGCTGCTACAGTCGATGTCAATTACGTACTCCCTTTCGCATGGGAACTACGCATGCACGATGCAAGAGCCCGCGCGCGGGCCACCAATCGATGAGGCCAATTTGAGTGCCCGAGCCATACGCGCGCGAACGCGGCGCGAAGCTCTTGCGCTTGCGGAAAAGGGAACAGGTAATTAACATGGACTGTATAACCGAAGGATCACTTCATGAATGGCCTAAATACACGTGTGTTACCACCAGGGTCGAGCAAGAGGTCAGCCATAGGCCGGACGAATAAAACTCCCTTCCCCCTCCCCCCCCCCCCCGCCCACCCTCCGTAGTGTTTTAAATTACAACCTTCTTCTCTTCCTTCAGTTTTATTAGAAAAGAAGAACAAGAAAAGAACAATTTTGAACATCTCAGCGATAACTTCATACATAGGATATGGACTTAGGTTTGGGCCTTGCTGCGCCCTGCGCAGGTGAAGTTCCTTGTGAAGTCATGGAACGCTCAAGATGAGCTAGATATCACCCTGTTCGATTGGATGTTTTCGACGGCGTATTGAAAGACCTTTCATGAATTCATTCAGCAGAGCCAGCAGATATCGAAAGTGGCATTTAAATTAGCTATAAAACCCCATCGGACAGTATACATTGCTCTTCAAAACGTCGGTGCAATTTATTATCCACCAACGAGTCACCTGCTTCGCAGAGGCTTTGATTCTACTATCTACCTACATGCCTTAGGCCCCGGGAAGACTTCACGCGATTTGATCGTCGCGACTCAATCGCTGACATTTCCATTCATTTTCATTTAACACGTTGACGACGGTGTCGCGCAATGGTGCGCGACAGGTAGTCTGTCCCTGTGGACGATGTCGCGCAATGGTGCGCGACAGGTAGTCTGTCCCTGTGGACGATGTCGCGCAATGGTGCGCGACACCCTAAATACCAGTTCGAATGTGCACAATGGTTCCAATTTGTGTTCACATAATCAGTTTAGGCTCGGAAGTTTTTTATGTTGGCCCCGCCCCTCTTTTGGCAAACTCCGCCCACTCCGTTGCCCTGTACAAAAAAATTTTTCGTTCTCAAATCGCATAGAAAAGCTCGTAAATGACTGGGGAACCTCAAATATTCTTAATTTTGACCCCGCCCCCCGTTATGCAGGCCCCGCCCCCTGAGTGGCAAGCTCCGCCCACTTTTCAAAAATACCGGAATTTGCACGAATTCATTGATTTTGAGCAGTTTCCAGCATTTTTGAAAAGTGGGCGGGGCTTGCCAAAAGTGGGCGGAGCTTCCCCGCCCACTTGCATTTTTGCACTTCACGCATAGATGCATGCATATATATGTGCAGCCGGCTGTGAAAATGCCCGGAAACGGTTCGTCCACAGGGACAGACCTTCAAAAAATGGCTCGTCGTCAACGTGTTAACATTCAAAAAGTTCGGGCTGGAAAAGTAACAACCTAAATGCAAGTTGATCGGCATGGAATGATGTTGTAACAGTTGTCTCGTCGCGACTCAGTCGCGACGATCAAATCGCGTGAAGTCTGCCCCGGGCCTTACTTATCTCAAATAAAGATGGCAATGAAACTAATCGTGCAATACTATCACGAAATTGTAAAGAACTACTCATTTCAAGGGCTTTTCTATGTGAGGTCGGTGATTTCGCGTGGATGAAACTTGTCGCAGAAGAACAAATGCAAGTTTAAATTAGTTTAAGAGGTTCTTATGGCTTGGTTAATCTTCATAAGTAGAATTATCACTGTAAGCTACACACTGTGCAAAGGTTTTCTTAGACGCTTAGATAAAATTTTGGCAAAATGACAACTTACGCACCAATTTTTTTGGCGCTTTTTCGTAAAGTAATGTAGTTTTGATCATTTGGGTTGTGCATGGCCTGCACCTTAGCTTGTTGAACATATTCATGATTTGCAAGTGGCAATTTTGCTGCAAGAAGCCTTGTGGATCCGATTGAGCGCAACTTTTGCGGGTTCCATTCAATGGATCCGCCCCTGCTTCATGGTGGGGTTTTATTCCGGTAGCCCGTGCGCTTTGCAAAATTTGGGTTCAGGACTTTGGCTAAAATTCGCTCTATGAATTTCGTAATCGACATATACACACACTGACACAACACAAAAAAACGTGAGCTGTAAGTCATGATTTTTATGCGAGTGGGGTGTTAGATCCACTGAGTCTAATAGGTCTTCGCCAATGTAATGTTCATGAGGGAAAGGCATCAAACCTTTATATGACGTAAGCCTCTCTTGCACAAAGAAGTAGGATTGGTGACTGAAGTTATGCTAACACAACCGGTACTGCACGACCACCAACAGTAACGTTTTAACTTTATTTACAGCAGCAATGTTCGAGGTTGTGATTATGGGCTATCTAAGACCTCCTTTTAGGTCTTGTTTTTGCTGTGCTAAAGCACGCTTTCTCTGAATCGTTGGTTTTGTAGAATCTGGGGCGTATGACGAACTCAACGAGATGGCAATGTTCAAATGAGCAGTCACGCACATCAATTGTAACGTCTTTAGGCACATCCATAGTGTCGTCTTTGTAGAACACCTAAAAGTATAAACTTGCAAAAATGAGCTTGCATCAATATTCACCTTCACAAGCGGTATACCGCTTCCTTGATACAATTCGATCATTATTAGAGGGTTATTTCTTGGAAGCGATTTACCAAGCGCAGAAGTTCCGCAACCAAGAGCGTGCAAAAAAGCTAACATAAGCCAATTGTCCTGCAAATAATCAAAACACGATTACAAATGAGGAAGTTCAATCGTCGCACCGTCACATATGCTCTGAACTTCTTTCGAATCTTTCCCGTTTGCTCGTAATCAATCCACTGCTTCCACAAATCCTCTGTAATCGTATACAGAAAGTACCCTTGTTTCACTCTGAGCAAGTCGATGTCGTGGTAATCGTTGACGCCGACAATGAAACTATATACCTAGAATGTGTCCTCTACTACAAACTAATCTTCCAAACAAGCAAGCTTTTGCGAACGTACCCTGTCAATGATAGAATAGATTGCTCTTTTGTTGGAGCGGAACCAATTTGGAACTGGCTTGTGATGATAATCCTGAGTAAGTGGCAAAATTTTTTTCATGAGGAGTGTTTCTTATGATACTTGCCAATGTATGTTGCCGTGTACAACTTAAGTCTATTTTTGGCTTCTTCCAAAATATTTTGTCAATGCACAGTACATTATTCAACTTATTATAGCTCTACCATAAATTCAATTAAAGTCAAAGAAAGCAAACCATGTGCGTGTATGCCACTGCTTCGGAGAAGGCTTTGGCACTGCTTAGCACAGATTCATGATGAAAACCAAGGCACTCGTGAATGAATCCGCCAAAGTCGGACCACTAAAAGAGTACATATCAATCTTCAAAGTCTATGACCACAATGCTGAATCCTAGAGAGGATGAAATCGGTAGGCTAGATTGAGACGGTTTAGGAAAAGTTCTGGCAAAATCTTTGGAGTTCAGCCTGGTGTCCTAAGAGCTACACTTACAAACTTTATTTGGACCGTGGAAAGACGAGCAGATCTGTTTTTCAATCGTTGAATGTAGCTTTCCTCCACTGGTTCTCCTTATTTGTGGATATAGCAGCAAAAACTAGTTTTTATGGAAAAAATTATATCTTACTAGCTGGCTTACCCGGCTCCGCCCGGGCCTGTCAAAACACTATGATAGAGGTCACATCCTTATCCCTGTATAGGCCGTCCGCGCTGCGCATGTAGAGCAACGCTGTTGCGTACATTGAAGGCAGTTCACGACTTGAAGAAGCGCAGAGAAAACAGCCGGGGAGAGTGCACGAGGAAAGAGAAATGACGGGCAATACACACCTTGCGCACTCTCCGCGTCCTGCGCTGACGGTCTATACAAAATCTTTCCCTTGCCCACTTCTACATGCCAATCTCGCTAATAGTAATCAGCATGCTCATATTACCCCCCCCCCCCCCCTCGGTGCCAAGTCCCAGTCCCGCAGGTCAAACTTTACAAAAAATAGATAAAAATCTACAAAATCGATATTGATCGATAACGAGAAGTAGCCTACGATACCCGCCCGCCCCGAAGTGTATGTATGCCAAGTTTGCTCCGGATCGATTGAAAAGTGGAATTTTCTATTCGGAAACATGCGTACACACATACAGACATACAGACAAACAGACATACAGCTTTGCATATAAGATTCAGCAGCAGTAGTAATGTATTAGCAGAGCAGGTCATCTGCATAATAATCTCTTTCGAATCCTCTGACGTTGCAAGCGTATTCATTGATATATTGGGTCGTTCCATAAGTTCGTAGCGTTTTTATTTTTGTCGTCGTTTTCTGGTGAAGCGGTAGGTTACCCCACAAAATGTGTGTACCTTCCGAAAAAGCCAATTCTACTCTACAAGAAATGCGTTTATTTTTAGAGTAAAACCCGATAACCTTTGTTTTGCTACTGCTCAAAGCAGAGTTTTTTGTGTTGCAAAAAATGGCGCTTTCGGCATCTCCATCTTCGGCGCTATATACGGAAATTACGAGAGGAAAAATTTCTACTCGAAATTGTTATGAGTGATGAAGAATACTGTTTACCGGACTATGATGCAACGTAAAACAAGAATCCTTGTCAAGGGAAATGCTACAGAGAATGATAGAGCGCACTTTACGGTATGTGTAGATGTTTTGCGTTTGGCCGGAATGAGGAAGTTTCTGAGCTAAAATTTTTCGGGAAAACGTAAAATCGCTGGTCACCGGTTGCATTCAAACTTTTGCACCACCTACACAAAGCTGTTCATCGCTTAAGGCTTGATAGCAGGACGAGAACATTCTGTTATGAAACAACGCGTAAAACTCAAGCTGCAGCAGTCGAAGACAGCAACTTTTGAGACTTCGTTCAAACAGTTCTAAGCATATTGGCTGAGTACTCTGCGTTGATACCACTGCTTT